TTAAATTTTTTAGGAGTTAAATCTTATATACTGGTTAATCCAGCGAAAAACCCACCCGAAATATAACCCACCCGAAATCTGAAAATTCAGAAAAATTGCCACATTTATGATAATAAATTTAATAAAATACCTTATTTCATTATTGTGACCATCTAAAAAATCTGAAAATTCAGAAAAATTGCCACATTTATGATAATAAATTTAAAATACCTTATTCCATTATTGTGACCATCTAGAAAATCTGAAAATTCAGAAAAATTGTCACATTTATGATAATAAATTTAATAAAATACCTTATTCCATTATTGTGGCCATCTAAAAAATCTGAAAATGCAGAACAATTGCTACATTTATGATAATAAATTTAATAAAATACCTTACTCCGTTATTGTGACCATCTAGAAAATCTGAAAATTCAGAAAAATTGTCACATTTATGATAATAAATTTAATAAAATACCTTATTCCATTATTGTGGCCATCTAAAAAATCTGAAAATGCAGAAAAATTGCCACATTTATGATAATAAATTTAATAAAATATCTTACTCCATTATTATGGCGAATTGACCACTTATCTTTGTCGTATCTTCTTTCTTCTTTCTTCGGGCCAGCTTGGACCTACCTTTCGTTGTTCCTGGCCATAGTCCCTCTAGTCATATTTTGACCAGAGGAAAAAAGGAGACAAACTCCTTTCATTATCGGCGCATCATCGCCGACAGATAACGTTCGAATTACGCGAGTCGATCGTATTGAAAAGTATATAATATATAAAAAGTTTCAATAAAAGTAAAATAAATATCCGCGATTAATTTGTAAAAATTTACTTTGTACAAAAAAAAATTTTTTTTAAACTTTAATAATTCCGCTATTTACTTGTAAATATTAATTAACCGCGCTTCTTCAATTCGGAATTTAAGAATAAACAAAAATTTTACTTAAACCGTATACTAATTTTCTTTAAATTGAAAAACGTTAATTTATAGTATTCTATAACAAATTAAAACTTATGCAAATAAAATTTTAAAAATTAATAATAAATTTCTCAACGCGAAAACCGATCGCAAAAACCGACCGCGAATGAAGATGCGCGCAGCATGTTATGCGCTAAACGCATCTTGAACAAATGTATCAATATACATAGCATACATGACGTGAGATTCGGAAAAAGCTTTCTGCATAATTTGTGTGTGTACTGATATTATAATTTAATATTCTAATTAATAATTTGTTGTAAATAAGCTAGTATAATATATAAAAGTCTATAAATTTCTAACATTGATAAAATACTATTATATTTTTTATTTTCTACCAAAATTATTTTCAATATGATGTACATATATAAATTATTGTCAAATTAAATAATTTAATTAATCAACAAACTCTTAAAAATCTTAAAATATTTAATATTTCTCGAAATTTCTCGAATTCACGTCATATTGCTTGACTTTATATAGCATGCATAAAGCCGAT